ATATATTTCATGAATATTCAAACAGAAACTAATTTAATAAAGTGACCATACTAAAGATCCATAAAATGGCGTGATCGTGACAAGAGTCGAGTGAAGTTCAAAAACTTAATACTAGAGACGTACTGGCACCAGAATTACGATAAAAACTTGTGTGAAGAACTGGAATTAAAAGAATTTTTTAACGAATTAGATTATAAATTACATTAATGAAAGGTAAATTTAGAAGAGATGACTAAAGAAATGAGACATGGTTCGATTGAATTAAGCAACACACGAGTATTTAAGATGTTTTTAGATTTACTATGAATCAATCTAGATCGAGAGTAAAACAACTTGCTCCTGCATATCTTTAATTAATATTAATCGTAGCGAAGTCCAGAAACATTTATGGTTGTGACTGAAATTCATTGTCACGCAGATTACTAGAATGCAGCGACTATCGAAAATTTAACATAGAAGAAAATTTTAAGACTTATGCTCATAAATTTCTCCTTCCCATAGGTGATCGACTCTTATTTCAAGACAAATTAAACTTTTTATAATCTTTTTTTGAAAATATCGATTCTCTAATAGATGTACCACAGTTTCATGTCAGATAACTGAGCTCATTTTGATCGTTCAATTACTTTTGTACGAGCGACATCTGATCGCTAACTCGTTTCAAATGAACCAGCATTTCTAAACACATCATTTTACCCAGCTGCTTGAAGCCTGTGATAGGTATATTTAAGGTAAGTAGTCTAAATTGCAGACTGGAGTTGTCTTATACTCATCAGTAATATACAATGATTTTATCAGAAGCTAAGTTCTGAGAAAAAGAATCGATCACTAGGTTGCCTTCGTTTGAAATGAGCTGATCAACAATTGTTTTAATTTAGTTCTTACGAATGATTGAACTGTAAAGTATTATATATCTATCTCCTATAGTTCTAAAGACTTCAAATATTAAATATGTCTAAGAAGTTTGATCAAAGACACTAATGGATTCGAATTTCAAATTTCAGTTGAGCAAGACTATGAAGTACAAGAATCAAATACTTGCTATCGAATATTTTCTTTTATATAATAGAAATAGAAAATGATGAAATGCTTATTTTTTTTCAGAGATATGTATTTAATGATATTTTCGAAGGAAAAAAAATAGACATCAGATCTTCAATATGTATCAAAGATTGTAATCATGAAATCTTGAAGTACTGTTAGTCATATTTATGTTAAATGAAAGTTATTCAATTTTATCGTCTTCTTCCATATTCATATCAACGTCTTCATATTTTCCTTTGTTGTCAATTTCTTCCTCATTTTATGCATTTTTTTCAATGTGACTTATAGATTCCTTTGATAAATGACAATCATTAATAAGCTGTACCAACATGTATCAGTAAGTATACTTCTTTTTTCGAATATTATCTCATCTGATGGTCGACATGCTCAACATCATCATTAGTGAACATTCAATTTGTAAATGAATTTTCATTTCTTTTTTTTAACGACGCAAATAAGAACAATTAGTTAAATTACTATTAGCACATGATAGTTACTATGTGCAAGTAAATATTCAAATAAGAAAAATGCCAGGCATGTATCGTAGTGATGTGAATAAAAATCAAGATAGTACAAATGTCACAGATGCATAAAACAGATCATCACGTCAACTTGTTATTAGCTGTCCTTTTTTTGAAATAGAGTTTTTTGCAGCGACTCGTGGTCTCTATATGATCATACCCTTAATATATCATGAAAATCTTCTATTGCATATCAAAAACAGAAAAGAACAAAAGCCCATCAAAACCGAAAAACAATGAATATTTCACCTCTGAATTTGATACCAAAGAAGTACAATTACAGAAAATTTAGAAGAGTACCTATACTTGCAACGTCTATATCTCTAGAATGACTCGTTCGTATAGCAAGAAAATATTTGATTGTAGAAGTTTTATTTAGTTGATATATATAAGAAAAGAAACTTTTGGTCTTCAAACGATCATTTTCAATCTAAAATTGATGATACAAACAAACAAAAAAACAACGAAATCAATGATGAAAACCAAAAGAAACATCATGAATATATAGCATCATGATCTAAATTATCAATATGAAGTAAGTTAAATAATTCATCTCTAATACTAAGTTTACCAAGAAAAATAAGTGTCACTCAAGTTTTATATTCTAATTAATATAATAATAATAGTTATGTATTAAGCCAAATATAATACTTTATTTTTCGTAATGATGATGTTATAAATTCCATGATATTATATATCCATGACGTTTCTCTTTGTTTTTATCATAGATTGTTTGTTTGTTCATACCATCAGCTTTAGATTGAAAACTGTCGTTTGAGGACTGAAAATTTCGTTTCTTATATATATATAAACTAAATAAAATTTCTATAATTATATATTTTCTTGCTATATGACATTATAATAAATCTCAAGATATATTTAATTTCATACATAATCACTCGTTCGTTTGAGCTGACACTTCTAGTTTATCCGTACCTCAGATGTACCTAACTACTAAAAAAGTATCAGCCAAATGTGCGCGATCAATTGAGCTATTTCCTGCACGAGCTGCTCGTGGCTTACGTGCAGTGCTTACTATCTATTTTGACATTTTTTTTGTTCATACAAGCACGAAAAAAAATAACAGAAGTACATTTTCTTGCAGTTTTCTTATCTCTGTCTAATGATAAATATATCATCTAAAAAATAATGTTTCTATTTTGAATACCTGCACTTTACTTCCAATCCTATCCGACTGTTCAAATACTTTTACAAGACTATGAAATAGTATCAATCATGATGAGCTATGTCTGCAAATAAAAACATTTCTCATATTCTCTTCATAGAATTGACTAATTGTCACGCTACTCGTTGTACTGGCGCTCGTCGTACTTTGCAGCATACCATCAATTATGTTTTCAAGTATTAAAAGCGAGTAATTTCAGCAACAACATCATTTATCACAATGCTTCGAATCAAGCAAAATTCTTCCTTTTCTATACAGCAGTCAGAACAACAATACGTACCACTGAAACATGTGAGTGTCGAAGCATATATTAAATCGTTCGCTGCTGATGTCACCATCGAACAAATTTTTCGCAATGATGAGACGAAACCAATCGAAGCAGTGTATTGTTTTCCAATAGAAGAATAAGCAGCAATCTATTCATTTGTGGCTCGAATTGATGATCGAAAAATTGTCGCACAATTAAAAGAAAAAAAGAAAGCACAACAAGAATACAGTGATGCTCTTCAACAAGGTCATGGTGCATATTTACTCGAACAAGATGAAAAATCTCAAGGTAATTTTATAATCAATGTCGATGCACTACCAGCCGGTAAAGAATGTCATACTTATATACCATATGTCTCCGAATTGGATCTCGTTCAAAATGGAAGCCGAATTCGATTTGTTGTTGCGACGACTATCGCACCTCGCCATACTCCAAACAAACACGGCACTAGCTCACCGGCTAGTACCACGTCTAAATACGTTCAAACAGCTCCATATACAGTTGAATTTCGCTGTCGAGTGGAGAAAGTCAACGTTTCTCGAGTTAGTTCGATGTTCCATCCTATCCAGGTTGAAGTGGATCAAGAGAATGTCTGTACCATCGAGTTTGCTCAACAAAACACTCATCTAGATCAAGATATCTTGTTAGATATTGAATTAGCTAGCAATCATTCGAATACTATTGTTGCGGTGGAACCAGGTGCTGTTATGACTTCATTTATACCAACTAAAGAAGATTGTCAACACGCGATGAACAATGTCGAGACGACGAATGAATTTATTTTTGTTATCGATTGCAGTGGATCAATGCACGATCAGAACAAGATTGGATTGGGACGTGAAGCCATGTTACTCTTTATCAAAAGTCTTCCACTAGATTGTCAATTTAATATCATTCAATTCGGATCTAATCACGAGGCATTATTCGATGAGGTTACTGATATTTACAATGAAAAAAATGTTCATAAAGTTGAACGACTCATCAATCAATTGCGGGCAGATTTGGGTGGTACTGAGCTGGTAAATTTAAACAATTTCATCTTGAAAAATTTTTTTCGTTCATCTTTATTGTAGTTAGAACTGCTGAAATGGTTAGAAAAGCATCCTCCACGAAAAGGTCGTACACGACAAATATTTCTGTTGGCTGATGGAGAAATTTCAAATGTGAACGAAGTACTCGATCTATGTCGTTCAATGGCTACTTCCACAAGGATCTTTTCATTCGGTTTAGGTCATTCACCGAGTCGTTCACTAGTCAAAGGCCTTACTCGAGCAACAAATGGACGTTTTGTTTTTATTCCACCTAACAGTAGTGTCGAAATTCATGTTGGTGAGCAGTTATAAAAAGCTCTACAATCTTGTATAACCAATATACAAGTGAAATGGAATCTGGGTACTAATGTTATGAGTGGGCCAGCAAAAATACCACCAGTCTATGCAAATGATCGTCTAATTGTCTATGCACTTGCCAATAATTCAATGTTTGTCTTCCATCATAATTCCAGAGTAGAATTACATACTGACAGAAGTCGATTAGGTAAGGCGAAAATTGATGGTTTATGTAATGTGAGCATGAATGAGACCATTGCTCGACTTGCGACTAAAGCACTTATTCTCGAATTACAACATTCGAAATTTCCCTCATCGATCAAGAAGAAGAAATCAGGTTCGTTATTAAGTTGTGTTCGGAAGAATCGTTCATCGCCAATACCAGCAACGAGAATCAACGAGACAGGAATGACAAAGAAATTCATTATTGAACTTTCACTCAAATATCATACTCTGAGTCCACATACCGCTTTTATTGGTATTGAAAAACGAATGAATGGTAACAATGCCGATATGATCTTGCGTGAAGTACCGATTCAAATATCGACCGATGACCAACACTTATTGGTATCCCATTCCATGAATCAGTGCGCCAATAAAATACCACCTAGTCCGATGACATTTCGTATGATGCCAGCACCAATGGCGATATCTACGGCGAATCGGTCTATGCCAACGGAGTATGAGCGACGTAAAACTTGCATGGTGTGTGTGTTGGTGTATGGGTCTTCTCTTGATTCACACCCATCCACACCTACATCCCAAATAATATATAAAGAAAATAAGATAATTCATTCTATATATTGTATTAATTTTTATTGTGTATTAAAAGGCGTTTTTTATATGTGCATTAATTTTTGCAAGTATGTTTTAATTTCTCCCAATATTTGTAAGTTGAGTAAAATCAATTATATTACTGTGGTACAAGTATAATTTAATTAACAATAATATCATATTCAAAGATTGTAAATATTCCATTAAACATTTTTTCTTTTCATATACTTTTAGGAACTAGCGACCTAACGTATTTTATTTTTCGTTGATCAAAATTGTTATCCACATATCCTAATTATTTAGTCTGTCTATTGTA